GTTAAACTATTGAAATAATAAAATCGGTGCATTCTTTCCAGAAGTTTCTTCTCTCTCACTCACTCTTAACCCTTTGCACTTAAAAGACGCCCCTGAGTCGCCATTTAATCAGATTCTAAAGATGGATGTTAATTAATATACCAAATTTACAATTACCCTACGATGTGTGGAATATCGAGGCAAAATAATTTTACGTCTTAATTTGCATACGATTTCTTACTTGCCGTTTTAAAAATATCGTCGATTTTATGGCAGAAAGTCTTCGAATTACTATTTTTTTGTAACGAAAAAATCGCAAAAATCGAGTGCAAAGGGTTAAAATTTATTTTAGCAAAGGGAGTATATACTGTAGTAACTAAGCTTTAAATATAAATTTATAATTATGAAACCAGAGATTAGATATATATATATATATGGAACTTAATATCTCTTCGATTTTAATTTTCTTCTTTTTGCTTTTAATGACACAGTATTGATATTACAAAGTCACTAGGATAGTAGAAATTTTCTATAAACTGAAATTACAAATTTCATCCCTCTTGGACCTATATTTTGTTCGATATAACACAGAATTTAACGTTACAAGGGCATTCATTCATATTATAAAAATTTTTCACATATCTACGTAAACTAAAATATTCAGAAATTTAACAAACCTTTATTCGATACGACAGAATATTATTATTATAAGGATATTCCTGTTAGAGGAATATCTAATTTCTCAGACAACTGTTTCATTCTGGCACATTCTTCTAAACATTTTTTCAAATATCATTACACGTTATAAAGGTAACCCTCCTACAACACGGCATCCTATAACACGGTTTCACTGTAACACGATTCATAAATTACGGGAACCCTCCTATAACACGTGTTGCAAGAAGATGTGGCCCTCTTCAGTTGAAATAGAAAACGTGCGTGAATCGTCAAAAAATGAAATTGGTGGCATATTAGAATTTGATAAATCAATCGTAGGTGAAGGTTTTGTGGATATGGCTATTGAGGACGTTCAAGATTTATTAATGGAGGAAGAAGTTGACGTAAGCGGATTTAATGGAAATGGCATCTGAAGCTGTAAATCAAATCGATTCCGAGGACACTGGCACTGATGAAGATTGTACAGTTAATAATTTAACATTAAAAAAATTACAAGAAGGCCTAAGCTTAGTTGAAAATCTCGAGTCATTTTTCTTGAATGCAAACCCTGAGAGAAGTCGAAAATTCAAAAGGGAGCTGCAAAACTGTTTAGCTCCATACCGAGAAATTTACAATGACCTGCCAAGAACCAGTAAGCAAAGTGAAATTACAGATCTTTTTGAGAGGCAAGAAGATGCAAGAACTTTAAATAAAGAAAAATGTTCTGAAAGTGAAGGCGATATCATTCCACCGAAAAAACGTTCTCGATTGATTATATTGAGCAGTGACGACGAAGAAATTTATTAAATTAAAGTTGCGTTAAATTAAAATAATATTTTTGTTTTGCGTTGTACATAAATTTATATTTTTAATAAAAATTAAGTTGTTTATGTAGAATTAAAAAAAATTTGCTTTTAATAAGTTTTCGGAACGTAACCCCTCTTTTTGTACTGGCTTTAGGTCTCATACAACACGGTTTCATACAACACGGAATTTTCTAGGAACCTATCTACCGTGTTATAGGAGGGTTACCTGTATTTATATCAGATATTGCAAAATTACAGGACAAATGAGTTTTTCTCGTTCAACCTCACTCACACTCGCACACATAAAACCAACACTCACGGATAGAAGTGGTGCCGAACGATAATGGACGATAACCGCGACAGGATTATTAGAATCGAATTTAAACGAAGTTTATGTATCCTCGATACCGGTTATGAGCAACGCAATAAACGGTTGGCCGGTGCAATAATTAATTAAACGACTGGTGGACTCGCGTCGATAAATTTAGACGTTTCTCGGTGACGCCGTTGCTGGAGACGTCGCTGCGGGCGCGCGGCGAAGAACTGTAACCTTGGCGCTAGAACGGTTAGAGGTTAGGTGCGAATTTAATGAATGATCGGCGCATAAAATGGCGAAGACGTTTCGCGTTTGGTATCGGCTGCATCGCGTGCTTCTTGCGAGACTTTTATTATTCAAATCCCAACCGCCGCTGCCTGACGTGTCCATCGTAATGGTGACGTGGAATTAATTAGAAAACCGATAGTTTATCGTTGCATATGCAACACTGCAATGCGGCTACGTGAAAATGCGTCTCGCGTGCAGCAACCTCGTTGTTAGAAAAACTTTTAACCACAGCCGTATGTTTAACGTTTAAAGGATACGAAAGCAACGGGTTCATAGTGGTCAGTCTTATCCATACTTTCAACCGTGGTCGGTTTCCAGGAGAAAATCAGCTAGTGTAAGGTCTTGTCGTGAGGTTCGGGTAAGACGTAAAAGTTGTAGACCAAAACCATTAAAAATACGAGTCTTAGCAGGTGGTAGAGTCAGTAGCCTGCGATCGTAATTTAATGTCAGTTGAGTTGCACCGGTTTGTTGTCAGTGAGTCACAATGTTGCGTATAATTTCCAAATGATTGCTGTTTTATTTATTTTCCTTAATCCTTTGCATTACAATAACGAATCTCACTAGTTATTCGTGTTAAAATCTCACGATTTTTTAAGCTACACTGTACCATAATTATATTTAACGTGTTTTAACAAATTTTGCACAAAATTCGAAGAATTTCTACAATTTTTATCTAATTTTATAGTGGGCGTAATAAACGTATAGTGGTTAATTAAATTTAAATATTATTCAATGTATTATTTTGTATAATTAAGTCGTACTGTAAGAGGTTAACACAATTATTGATCCTTTGCACTCCAAGAATATTTTTACTTCATCGATCGGCAACTCTAACACAGTTCTGCTGTGAGAAGTATTTTAGAGTAAAAAATTTTATTTTAGACAGAAAAATATTAAGAATATTTGTAAATTTATTCGTTATTCGGCTGTTTTGTCTTTCTTTCTTTTTATCAATGAGAAAGAATTCAAATAACCAATTCCTAGTTTCTATTGTCACCGCAGTGGCGCCACTGGAGTACGAAGGCTTAGGAACTTACGTGTCTCGTTAATTATGAAAGTGGTCTAAATCAAAAACCCATAGAAACAATTTTGTCGTTTATTTTGTGTCGTATTTATTTATATTACAATAAAGTATAGAATTCGTAGTTTCACCTAATTAAATTTTCGATTTATAATAAATTTGAAGCTCGGAACTTTCAATACTTATACTAAATATAATACTTTAATAATTTTAATTTATACCTGATATGCTATGTCAAATATAATTCTACGATGTTATACTTTGACAAACTTTGCACAATCACTGACATATATGAAATATATTATATTTTATACGAACATAATCGTTCAAACTACAAATAAAAGATGGATTAAACCGAAACGAGAGTGAAATAATACAGAATAGCAAATAGCCTCATGACATAAAATTATTGAAAAATATTATTCTAAAATTAGATTCTACGGATTTTATCTACAAACGAAGAGGCTTCGGATAATTAAATGAACATTATCTTCGTATTGAGATTGAACAAATGAAAGATAAATTGAACCAAAACGAGAGTGAAATAATACAGAATAGCAAATTACCTCGCGTCATAAAATTATTAAAAAATGTTATTCCAAAATTGGATTTTATTTTCAAATGAAGAGGCTTCGCATAATTAAACGAGCATTATCTTCGTATCGAAATTGAATAAATAAAAGGCCAATTGAACCAAAACGAGAGTGAAATAATACAGAATATCAAATAGCCTTGCGACATAAAATTATTAAAAAATGTTATTTGGAAATTGGATTTTATTTTCAAACGAAGAGGCTTCGAATAATTAAGCGAACATTATCTTCGTATCGAGATTGAACCAAAATGAGAGTGAAATAGTACAGAATATCAAATAGCCTTGTGACATAAAATTATTAAGAAATTTTATTCTAAAATTGGATTCTACGTATTTTATCCTCAAACGAAGAGGCTTCGAATAATTAAGCGAACATTATCTTCGTATCGAGATTGAAAGAGAAGTAGAAATATTTTACGACTCCTTACAAAGCATCGGGACGTCTACTTGGCCTGACAAGATCCGCCGTCATAACATTGTTACGGCGCCGTTCACGGAATAAAAGAAGTGTCAGATTCTACGACCATTAATGGACAGCTCGTGTCCGCTCGTTAACAAATCTTGCCGGTATACATCCCCCGTGGTCCCCGCTGTAACGACGTTCCCCTGTCTTCGATACCGTGTGCATTTTTATTCCAACCGCAGGCCGAACCGCAAAAAGGATGCGCGTGAACGACTCGACGAATGATTCGATGCCACGATATGTGAATCAGTCGTAAAAATGTTCTTGCCCGGCGTCGTGAAGGCGTTGCGACGTCTTTAACGATTTCGCGTTCGGTCGTCGAACTGGAAACATCCTTCGCGAATTCCTGCTTGTCCTTTTACTCTTATCGAAATACGAAGAATTGATCATCTATTTCGACGACGGTGCCGCTATCTGGCGGCCCTCGCGGCGAACCAAAATGGCCGATCCGCGCAGAGCGATAGGTTATGTACGCGCCTCTAACCTTAATGCAACGGGGTTATGGCGAAACGCTAAAATTTTAATGAACTTTCTACTTATATTTTTACGCGGCAGTGTAAACTCGGGATCCGTGCCGTGATAAAATCACTTACGATTATTACACCGATGTGTGGAATAAATTTCGAACGTCACTGCCGAGCACGGAACGGGTTCTGCATATCATTTCCATCGGATTGCTTAATAACTTTTTACGCTCGCAAAATAAACATTCGAGTTTGATCTCTTCTGTCGGCCCGAACGCGTCGCTGTTTTATAAGCTGTCTTAATCGAGAAGGAGAAAGAGGGAGAGACAGGAATCCCGATAACGTTGCCATTATAATTTACGGCTTGTTTTGACGAAACTTCATCGATACAAAATAATTTGTCGATTGCAGGTGGTGATGTGCGGGGCGGTGCCGGCAATGGTGCGCTCCGTGAGTCTCTACTCGACTTGCAGCAGCGGCAATGTTACCGTAATTGGCCGCTTGATCAACGCCACGGTACGCAATGATGAAAATGCCCCTTACCGTAAGTAAGATTCTAATTAATTACGCTACTCCGTCGGGAGATTAATCCTTTCCCACTTCGAACAAACCGATCGCTCCGCGAATCTTGTTTTCGCTTTGTCAGATCAAACATCGTGGATTTATCACTCCCATATGTACATACATCTGACGTAAACATCTATTGACGAGGTCTCCTAATATTTTACTTAACTTTTTCCAATATCTTCGAAAAATGATTGCAAGGGATTAAAATTAAGATCTTATATTTCAAAATTAACAGAGTTTCTTTGCGAAGTACAATCTTGGACTTCGTGTGTCGCATTTTTGTTGAGAAAGATTAACAATTTCCAGTATTACGAGCTAAAGGGTCTCCTAAAAATCCATTATTAATAATATTCGTAATTCAGGCTCTTCCTGTTATCTGAATTAACAGAAGTGAACAGGATTACGGTTAAGTATGAGTTTAACCTCTTAGGCACGGCTGAATTTTGCACAGGGCTGTTTCTCTTTACGATAGAGTTCAACGCGAATCACGCGTAAATGATACAGCACTGTAATGGACAATGCTGTTCTAAAAAATTATAAGCATACGGATCGGCATGTTCATCATCATTTAATTCAAACGGTGAGCGAGTGAGCCACTATAGTGGCGCATCGTGCCTATGAGGTTAATAAATATATAATAAATATGTAAATTTGTATGGATTAATTAAATAACAATTACTTTAAATATTACTAAACATTATAATCAATT